TGGTGGCTGGTGGAAAGCGCTGTAGACTTGTGGACCTAGGGACCAGGATTCGTTCTGACGGCACCGACGGAAAAACAAATGGGCCGAATTTCCTTCACTCTGATGCACCTGCTACTTAGCAGTAAATAGGTACCTTGGAGTTAGACAGCTGCTACAAGCTGCTTCCTGGGTGTGTGTGTGTGATTTTTCTTTAAATAAGTTAGTAGTTAGTAACAATTGATTGATTGAGAGTTGAGAGGCAGGCCGAAAGAGTAGAGCTCATCCCCCGCAAGCACAACTAGGTGAATACAACTAGGTGAATATACAAACATACACACATGTGCACACACACAAACATAAACACACACACACACACACACACACACACACACACACACACACACACACACACACACACACACACACACACACACACACACACACACATATCTCTATATCTCCATCACATCTAGGATTTATCTCCCCAAAAATAGAACTAGGAACAAATGGCTGGCGTACCGAAAGGGGAATTATGAGGAGATGCGAAGTTTCCTAAGGGATATCTCTCTACTCTCTAGAGTAGAGAACTGCTGCACAATGACAGCAAATTTCAAAGCTAGAGAAATTGCTGACCTGGAGAGCGTGCAGAGATCCTTTACTGCTAGAATCCACTCAGTAAAACATCTAAACTATTGGAACCGACTAAAGAGCCTAAAACTGTACTCCCTTGAGCGCAGGCGGGAGAGGTACATAATAATTTACACGTGGAAAATATTAGAGGGGCTGGTCCCAAACTTGCACACAGAAATAACATCACATGAGACCAGAAGACATGTCAGGATGTGCAGAATAACCCCGATGAAAAACAGAGGTGCAACTGGTACTCTGAGAGAGAACTCTATCAACATCAGAGGTCCGAGACTGTTCAACACGCTTCCACTACACATAAGGGGCATAACTGGCCGACCCCTCACAGTGTTCAAGAGAGAACTGGATAAGCACCTCCAAAGGATACCTGATCAACCAGGCTGTGACTCATACGTCAGGCTGCTCGCAGCCGCGTCCAACAGCCTGGTTGATCAGTCCGGCAACCAGGAGGCCTGGTCGACGACCGGGCCGCGGGGACGCTAAGTCCCGAAAGCACCTCAAGGTAACCTCAAGGTAAGGTATATACCATGGGACACAGACCTCAGAGATAAGTCTATACAAGACATGATGAACTATGTCACCCAAAAGTGTCAGGAGGCAGTAAACAGGTTTATCTCGGCCAAAAAGGAAAACTCCGAGAAGCAAAGGAAGAATCCATGGTTTAATAGTGCATGTATGGAAACAAAGGAACTGAACCAATGGGTGTGAAGGAACTTCCGAAATAACAGAACACCAGAAAGCAGAGAGAGAGAGCAGAGAACCAGGAATGAGTACGTCAGGGTGAGAAGAGAAGCAGAGAAAAATTATGAAAATAATATAGCAAACAAAGCCAAGACCGAACCAAAGCTACTCCACAGTCACATCAGGAGGAAAACAACAGTGAAAGAACAGGTAATGAAACTTAGAATAGGCGAGGACAAGTATACAGAGAATAACAAAGAGGTGCATGAAGAACTCACCAAAATGTTCCAGGAGGTCTTTACAATAGAACAAGGTTAGGTCACTGTGCTAGGAAAGGAGGAAGTAAACCAGGTGGCCTTGGAAGGGTAGGAAATTACGAGAGATGAGGTCAAGAGACACCTGTTGGATCTGGATGTGAGAAAGGCTGTTGGTCCAGACGGGATCTCACCCGTCTGAAAGTATCTCAGATCTCACGGTATTGAAAGAGTGTGCAGAGGCACTTTGCTTCTCACTCTCCATAGTGTAATGTAGGTCACTGGAGACGGGAGACCTACCAGAAATATGGAACACGGCTAATGTGGTCCCAATATACGAAAAGGGCGACAGACAAGAGGCACTGAACTACAGGCCAGTGTCCTTGACTTGTATACCATGCAAGGTGATAGAGAAGATAGGGAAAAAAACTAATAACCCATCTGGAGAGAAGGGACTTTGTGACAAATCGCCAACAAGTGTTCATGGAGGGTAAATTTTGCCTGACTAGCTTAATAGAATTCTACGGCCAGGTGACAAAGGTTAAGCAAGAATGACAAGACTGGGCGGACTGCATTTTCTTTGACTGTCGGAAAGCCTTTGACACAGTACCCCATAAGAGGCTGGTACATAAGCTGGAGACACAGGAGTGGCTGATAATTTGCTTCAGTGGATAAGGGAGTACCTAAGTAATAGGAAGCAGAGAGTTACAGTAAGGGGTGAGATCTCAGAGTGGCGTGCAGTCACCAGTGGAGTCCCACAGGGCTCTGTACTCAGTCCTATCCTGTTTCTGATATACGTAAATGATCTCCCGGAGGGTATAGACTCATTCCTCTCAATATTTTCTGATGATGCCAAAATTATGAGAAGGATTAAGACAGAGGAGGACTGCTTGGGGGTTCAAGAAGACCTAGACAAACTGAAGGAATGGTCGATTAAATGGTTAGAGTTAAACCCAAGTAAATGTAATGTAACGAAGATAAGTGTTGGGAGCAGGAGGCCAGATACAAGGTGTCATTTGGCAGATGAAATTCTTCAAGAGTGAGAGAGAGAGAGAGAGAGAGAGAGAGAGAGAGAGAGAGAGAGAGAGAGAGAGAGAGAGAGAGAGAGAGAGAGAGAGAGAGAGAGAGAGAGAGAGAGAGAGAGAGAGAGAGAGAGAGAGAGAGAGAGAGAGAGAGAGAGAGAGAGAGATAGAGAGAGAGAGAGAGAGAGAGAGAGAGAGAGAGAGAGAGAGAGAGAGAGAGAGAGAGAGAGAGAGAGAGAGAGAGAGAGAGAGAGAGAGAGAAAGAGAGAGACAGAGACAGAGACAGAGACAGAGACAGAGAGAGAAAGAGAGAGACAGAGACAGAGACAGAGACAGAGACAGAGACAGAGACAGAGAGACAGAGAGACAGAGAGAGAGAGAGAGAGAGAGAGAGAGAGAGAGAGAGAGAGAGAGAGAGAGAGAGAGAGAGAGAGACCTGGGGTTTGATATCATGCCAGACCTGTCCCCTGAGGCCCATATCAAGAGGATAACATCAGCGGCATATGCCAGGTTGGCTCATATAAAAATGGTATTTTGAAACTTGAGTAAGGAATCATTCAGAACTTTGTATACCACATATGTCAGACCAATCCTGGAGTATGCAGCTCCAGGATAGATTCCATATCCAGTCAAGCATAAGACTAAACTGGAGAAGGTTCAAAGGATTGCCACCAGACTAGTACCCGAGCTGAGAGGTATGAGCTACGAGGAGAGACTACGGGAATTAAACCTAACGTCGCTGGAAGACAGAAGAGTTAGGGGGGGGACATGATCACTACATACAAGATTTTCAAAGGAATTGATAGGGTAGATAAGGACATGCTATTTAACAGAAGGGGCACACGCACTAGGGGGACACAGATGGAAACTTCGTTCCCAAATCAGCCACAGGTACGTTAGCAAGAATTTTTTCAGTGTCACAGTAGTTAACAGATGGAATGCATTAGGCAGTGTTGTGGTGGAGGCTGACTCCATACACATTTTCAAATGTAGATATGATAGAGGCCAACAGGCTCAGGAACCTGTACATCAGTTGATTGACGGTTGAGAGGCGGGGACCAAAGAGCCAGAGCTCAACCCCCACAAGCACAACTAGGTAAGTGCAACAAGGTAAGTACACACACACATACACACATAAATGCACAACTGAAATGACTGAAATCAACTTATTTCATACGTTCAAAAGATGACTTTATATTGATAGTTACAGTGTTCTCTTTTTGCTACCAAATAAAAACGTCAGAAAACGTTTTGTGTTTACTGGGTAGGCCTTCAGCAGTTGTTTTCATAGTGGCAGTAATGATTAGTTCAACATGTGTGGAAATACATAGGAGAACCTTAATGGCCTCCTCCCCCCCCCCCCCAAAAAAAAAGGCCTTCTGCAGTTTCATTCTTAAGTTTATTACGCAATCTTTTATCCATAAATATTTTTTGTAAATGGAATTTAATATCAAATCATTGAAAATGCAATTTAATATCAAATCTTTGAAAATGCAATTTAATATCGAATAATTGAAAATGCAATTTAATATTGAAACATTGAAAATGGGATGAAATACACCATCAGAAAAAATGGACTTATTGAGGAAGATGAAGATCTACTGGCTAATGACGTCATTGGACATTTGGGATGACTACCTGTGCATGACGCCGAGGTGACCATATTTAGGGAGAACAAAAGGATGCAGTTTAATATTCTTGGAGAAAAATAGTAGGAGACGTAAGGGAGCCGCTTAATCTCCATCGGAAACATTTATATGATGGAGGGGTATTGTTAAGGTTGATAGGAAGAAAATATGTAGACAATGGGAGCCATCGAGGTTGATGGGGGAAAAATGCAGATGGATAGGAGCCGTCGAGATTGATGGAAAGCAGTGTGGATGGAAGGAAGCCGTCAAGGGTGATGGAAAAAATATGCAAGCGGAAGGGAGCCATCAAGAAAAGCAAAATGGGCACCTCTCCATCCTGGTTTCCATTATTAGCGTATACACACAGTAGGAAGATTCAGCGTGTACACACAGGAGGAAGATAAAGCATGTACACACAGGAGGGAGATAAAGCATGTACACACAGGAGGGAGATAAATCGTGTACACACAGGAAGGAGATAAAGCATGAGCACCCAGGAGGGAGATAAAGCATGTACACACAGGAGGGAGATAAAGCATGTACACACAGGAAGGAGATAAAGCATGTACACACAGGAGGAAGATAAAGCATGTATACACAGGAGGGAGATAAATCGTGTACACACAGGAAGGAGATAAAGCATGAGCACCCAGGAGGGAGATAAAGCATGTACACACAGAAGGGAGATTAAATGTGTACACACAGGAAGGAGATTAAGCATGTACACTTAAACACTCCTCACTGTTTTCCAATCGTTAGATCTCGTAGTAAGTTATTTCTAAGCATCTTTACTGGCCGTGGTCGCAGTCCTTGATGAAAGCGAGGAGTCTTCGGGTGAGGGAGAAATCCTTCTCGGAGAGATCTTCGACGATGTTGAAGTGGTCTGCGAACTCCACCTCCAGGAATTCCGCCTTCACGCCCCACCACACACACTCCTGCGTCAGTCGGTCAAGGAAATTACATTGAAACAATAATTTATCTATCATCATGCACTCCAGTTATATTTACAGTATAAACGTATCAGAGTTAACATTGATGTCTGGATGCACTAATGCTTCCATTAATACTGTTATATAATCTTCAACCCGTTCTCTCCACATCCGTACTCTGCCTCACCCTATAGAACTCTGCAGACTGCCTCTTGAACTCTGGAGGGTCGTACTGACCCACCGCCACAAGGACCTGCAGACCAGGCCATGTTCGCCCCAAAACCCCCACACTGACCAGGGGAGACAACTGCCACGCTGTTGACCTGTCCAGGGATGGGGTATAATTATTCAACATTTCAGCCCATAGTATTGAGAGTTAGTTCGAATCCAGAACGAACTGGAGAACTGTATAGCAGTTGTAGCCATGCTAATCAATTAAACTCGCGTCCAGGTACTCCCGGACAACTAACGTAAATTAGAATCATGGTATTGGGAATAAAATTGCATCCGAGAGCTTTAAAGCCACTATACAGAAGTTGTGGCTATTAGTGAAACTTGACAGCATAACAACATAAGGAAAACAGCAACACACTACAACAAGTTATCAGAAGCCACAGGAAGGTTGTGTCACGGATGGAGCCTTAGTCTGCACTCACTCCGTCAGATGAAGAGGCTGGTTAATGTAGGTGGTGAGCAGCGGCCGGAGGTCAAAGATACCACTGAGAGTCACCACACCTCGGATCATGTCAGTGTATGATGTGACGTCGTTCTCTTTGGTCGTCCCTTCTGTCGTAGGCGACGTCAGCACCTGCCATGCTCACCCAACATTTTTCAGTTACTAATCTTTTATACAATGCCCTGATTATAGAACTTAATGAGAATAATAAAGTCAATGAAAAACTGATCAATAAGACAGGACGAATATACTAGCACCTGCCATTATTAACTTCCGGAAGTGTGAGACATTTCTTCACTATTCATGTAAGAATATTAACACACCACCCTGGAACTATACACTAATTATTTTTAACATTGTACACCTGCCAGCCGCTGAACACCACATTCCCACGGACGTCTTACAGTTATTGGCTGCTGAACACCACATTCCCACGGATGTCTAAGAGTTGATGGCTGTTGAACAACACATTCCCACGGATGTCTAAGAGTTGATGGCTGGTGAACACCACACTCCTACAGATGTTTTACAGTTGCCTGCTGCTGAGCACCCCAACGTTCCAACCTGTCCTCTTAAAAAGAACGTCGCTTTTGGCCGTTTACCAGTATGGCCGAATATGGACGTAATTTGAAAATGAAAAAAATGAAAATAAATTTGGGATTTTTTTTCAACAACAGTAAGTTAATGGTCCTCTGATAGGTTAGGTGGGCAGGAAATTCTCATAAAGTTTCAAAACGGTATGAAAAACGTTAATGGAAAATTTCCTCTTCTAAGCTTGTCGAGTAGGGCGGACGACTCAAACAGAAAACGAAACAGAACGTCACTTTTGTGAGTCGATTTCATTTCAAATTACGTCCAAATTTGGCCATAGCGCGCATACGAGCGAAAAGTGACGTTATTTTTAAGAGGACGGGTTGTCCTATCTACCTTGTGGAGGTTCTTGGGGTTTTTAATCTCCTTGGGAGAAAACTTACAACAAAAGGGAACAGTTTAGTTTTCTTTGGAAAAATAAATATGACAGAAGTGAGCTGTTGAGGTTCATCGAAAATTAGGGTGTGACTGGAGGATGCAGTTGAAAAAATGAAAATTGCACCCTTGTCATACTCACCACTACTGACTAGATGTGGAATCCAGGCTGGAGCCACATATTCCAGTATTGGTCTGACATATAAGGTATACAAGGTCCTGAATGATTCCTTACACAAGTTACTGAAGGCAGTTCTTATGTTAGCAAGCCTAGCATACGCCGCTGATGTTATCCTTTTGATTTGGCTTTCAGGGGACTTGTCTGGTGTGATATCAGCCCCCAGACCTTTCTCTCGTCCTAGCTCCTGATGGATTTCCTCTCCCAGCTGGTACCTTGTGCTTGGCCTCCTGTTTCCTATATCCTATCTTCATCACTTTGCACTTGCTCGAGTTAAACTCTAGTAGCCTTTGGCTGGACCATTCCTTCAGTCTGTCCAGGTCACCCTGCATCTTTTATGGGGTACTGTGCCATCGAAAACTTTCTGATAGACCAAGAAAATGCAGTCTGCCCATCCTTCTCTTTCTTGATTAATGTTTGTTGCTTCTTGCACAATTAATACCAAAAAAATCACAGTAGCCTATCAACAGCAGTAATATATAGGGGATAAGAATTAAAGACAATTGTGTTAAAAAAGAGGACACCAGTTTACTCTGTGGTAGCACATCAAACAAAAATATATTATGCACAAGAAATAATGACACTTAATCAAGGCTAAATTAAATATAGGCTGATGATCACTGACACAGTGTAAAAGAGGAAAATGGCTTAACACTTAATTACAATTATACCAAATATAAAGCAACAATCAGACTCAAAAACAAAGAGCCAAAGCTCAACCCCCGTAACACAATTAGGTGAGTACAAATCACATCCTACTTACCTCACGACCGTAACTGACTCACGTTCGCCCTGCCTCCTCATACGTAAGCGTGACTCAACTCACAATAGCCAGACACGTCTGACAACTACTCTTAACAGACACACTTACATACGGAGATAATCACTCTCAAAACATGAATAAACATAAAGCAATCTTATACATTCTGGAATAAGAACTCAAAATAATATGCATCTCAAAAAGAAACAATATCACTGAATGATGATTGTGGGTTGGTAACAGTGGCGCCCATCAGCACACGCGACAAATTCCTGTCTAATACCTGTCCACTGAACAGACGCGCACTTGATCACCTCTCATACAATATAACAAAGTACATTACACTCTATTATATTGTATGAGTATCACTGCACAATATATTATTATGCATATATTAACATTAGTGAGAATCAGGTTAAATACCTGGTTCGTAACAATCTACTGTTGGTGAAATCTAAGGAAGAGGAGTTAGGACAACCTAAATCCATCAAAGTGCAAAATCATTTCATCCAGCCAACCAACCATAGATGCAGTAAAAACCTTTTTGCCGGGAGCCCCAGTGATCGCTCCCACCAACAGTGTGCTGCTAGGGGCACCTCTGGGCTCGAGTGTAATTGAGGTAATCCTCGAAGAAAAGTTGAACGACCTGAGTAGGATGGAGGAAAGAATAGGGCTTTGAATGCCCACGATATTTTGTAACTTCTCACAAAGTGCCTGGCTTTGACCAGGCTTACCTATTTCCTAAGGTGTGCTCCCTCCTTCGACCGTCCAAAAGTAACAAAACATAACGCACTTCTAAAGTAATTGAAAGATGAAAGATGAAAGGTGACCAATGGGACCAAGCAACGATCCCAACTAGACTCGGGGGAATAGGTATTCACAAGGCGACACAGTGAGGCCTGTGGCTGAGTGATCAGCACTCTGCATTCGTAGTCGTATGGCCCGAAGATCGATCTCCGGAGATGACAGAAAAAAGGCATATTTTTTCACCCTGATGCCCCTGTTACCTTGCAGTGAATAGGTACCTGGGAGTTAGACAGCTGTTATGGGCTGCTTCCTGTGTGTGTGTGTGTGTGTACTCACCTAGTTGTGCTTGCAGAGGTTGAGCTCTGGCTCATTGGTCCTGCCTCTCAACCGTCAATCAACTGATGTACAGATTACCAAACCTACTGGGCTCTATCGTATCTACATTTGAAACAGTATATGGAGTCAGCTTCCACCACATCACTACCTAATGCATTCCACTTGTTAACTACTCTGACACTGAAAAAGTTCTTTCTAACGTTCCTCTGGCTCATTTGAGTACTCAGTACAACAACATCAACAAGGGGACCTGTGTCCCCTTGTTCGAGTACCACCTGTGTTAAAACGTTTATCCCTATCTACCCTGTCAATTCCTCTGAGAATTTTGTAGGTAGTGATCATGTCTCCTCTTACTCTAATGTCTTCCAGTGTCGTGAGGTGCATTTCACGCAGCCTTTCCTTGTAACTCATGCCTCTTAGTTCTGGGACAAGCCTAGAGTATACCTCTGATTTTGTGTGTGTGTGTGTGTGTGTGTGTGTGTGCACTCACCTAGTTGTGTTTGCGGGGGTTGAGCTCTGGCTCTTTGGTCCCGCCTCTCAACCGTCAATCAACAGGTACTCACCTAGTTGTACTCACCTAGTTGTGCTTGCGGGGGTTGAGCTCTGGCTCTTTGGTCCCGCCTCTCAACCGTCAATCAACAGGTGTACAGATTCCTGAGCCTATTGGGCTCTATCATATCTACACTTGAAACTGTGTATGGAGTCAGCCTCCACCACATCACTTCCTAATGCATTCCATTTGTCAACCACTCTGACACTAAAAAAGTTCTTTCTAATATCTCTGTGGCTCATTTGGGTGCTCAGTTTCCACCTGTGTCCCCTTGTGCGTGTGCCCCTTGTGTTAAATAGCCTGTCTTTATCTACCCTATCAATTCCCTTCAGAATCATGAATGTGCTGATCATGTCCCCCCCTAACTCTTCTGTCTTCCAGCGAAGTGAGGTTTAATTCCCGTAGTCTCTCCTCGTAGCTCATACCTCTCAGCTCGGGTAATAGTCTGGTGGCAAATCTTTGAACCTTTTCCAGTTTAGTCTTATCCTTGACTAGATACGGACTCCATGCTGGGGCTGCATACTCCAGGATTGGCCTAACATATGTGGTATACAAAGTTCTGAATGATTCTTTACACAAATTTCTGAATGCCGTTCGTATGTTGGCCAGCCTGGCATATGCCGCTGATGTTATCCTCTTGATATGCGCTGCAGGAGACAGGTCTGGCGTGATATCAACTCCCAAGTCTTTTTCTTTCTCTGACTCCTGAAGAATTTCCTCTCCCAGATAATACCTTGTATTTGGCCTAATGTTCCCTGCACCTATCTTCATTATATTACATTTGGTTGGGTTAAACTCTAATAACCACTTGTTCGACCATTCCTGCAGTTTGTCTAGGTCTTCTTGAAGCCTCAAACAGTCCTCTTCTGTCTTAATCCTTCTCATAATTTTGGCATCGTCCGTAAACATTGAAATAAATGAATCTATACCCTCCGGGGGATCACTTACATATATCAAAAACAAAATAGGACCGAGTACAGAGCCCTGTGGACTCCACTGGTGACTTCACGCCAATCGGAGGTCTCACCCCTCACCGTAACTCTCTGCTTCCTATTGCTTAGGTACTCCCTTATCCACTGGAGCACCTTACCAGCTACACCTACCTGTCTCTCCAGCTTATGTACCAGCCTCTTATGCGGTACTGTGTCAAAGGCTTTCCGACAATTCAAGAAAATGCAGTCCGCCCAGCCCTCTATTTCTTGCTTAATCTGTGTTACCTGGTCATAGAATTCTATTAAGCCAGTCAGGCAAGATTTACCCTCCCTGAACCCATGTTGTCGATTTGTCACGAAGTCCCTTCTCTCCAGATGTGCTACCAGGTTTTTTCTCACGATCTTCTCCATCACCTTGCATGGTATACAAGTTAAGGACACTGGCCTGTAGTTCAGTGCCTCTTGCCTGTCGCCCTTTTTGTATATTGGGACCACATTCGCCGACTTCCATATTTCTGGTAGGTCTCCCGTCTCCAGTGACCTACTATACACTATGGAGAGGGGCAAGCAAAGTGCCTCTACACACTCTTTCATTACCCATGGCGAGATCCCGTCTGGACCAACAGCCTTTCTAACATCCAGATCCAGCAGGTGTCTCTTTAC